TAGAGCTGCATGTGGCAACCCTTTTTAAACAACCCTCGTAATACTGCTGTGTGACTTTTAAATTGGATTTGATTCAAACAACAAACAAACAACAAACAGTCATATAAAGCAATGCAGACCGCAGCTACAGTGGGAGTTTACACTTGAACTTCAAGCTCTGATGACAATATCCCAAACAAACTGCATTCATGTTAAAACAAACCAATATTAATTGGCCAATTCTTATTTTATAAAGATTAAATTAAAGATATGAAACCACATTATCTAGCTAATCAAACACTGGATGTTTTGTTAAAAGTGGAAACTAGAAGGAGAGGAAGATTGAGGAAGCCATAGCTGACCCTGTGATGATTAATGCTGTGCTCTTATCAGCAACTGTAACCCAGCATTACATGTAAGTATAAATGGCCATGAGCAGCGGAAGAGGAGCCAATCAGATTTCAGCTCGCATGTCAACCAAAGACCAACTATCTCCTGGCTTTGACAGCAGGATTTTACCTCCACAATTCAAATCCCAGTGCAAACTGCAATCTGCAGGCTGCAGGCACTGCCTCCCTCATATCTGACTGTTTACAGGCAGCATGCATTTTAAAGCAAAGCAACTTGTTAGCAGAGGTCTGGCTATTTTTATTTTTTTGTTTGTTTTATATGGTTTGACATTTAAGTATTTTATTGACTTAAAAACCTGAACCTTGGTGAACCATTTAACTGACCTTAAGAGGCTGATTCTCCATACGACACATTCCGCAAAACACAGCTTAATGGGCAAGAAAGAGGAAAAAAAAAACACAACCCGCAATGTACAAACAAACTCTTACAAACTAACAGGACTCTCAATATACCCGTGTATTGTACTTACATTTCCACACTGGAACAGTAACGCATAATGCTTGAAAAGGAAAAGCTAAAGAAGGAGGAAAAAAAAAAAAAAAAAACTAGCCGTAGCTGCTCGGTGTGTGTTTTCTCCCCTTTTCAAAGTCGGGGCCTTCTTGACTCTCTGAACGTCCTTACATCGTTTCAGCAGCCTGTATCTACTTCAAGCGGCACTCTCTCATGTATACGTTCAGGGATAACATTCAAAAACAACACATATAAAACGATTTGGTGTAAAGAAAAACCACTACACGACAGGCAGCCATTTTAGAGTCTTTGCGAACTAGTATGAGACAATGGCTGGCCTGCTACGTTGTGAACTAGCTATGAGGAGGGAATGAGACGTGCTAAAAAGGCTCACATCATGTTTCCTGCTTTTATATTTTACCTGGTTTCTAGCTAATGGCTGCCCGGTGCTTCCCGGGCTCGACTGGAGATGGGTTCTTTGTTGCCAGCCCGGGTTGCTCCCTCCGTACAGCCCGCTGCTGCCCATGTCTGCGGGTCCCTTACTAGCTCCTTCTGGGCTGCTGTAGTCACTGGACGGGTAGTTTGGATAAGCCCGCGTTGAGCTAGGAGAGGTTAAGAGCTTGTTGAGTGTCGGCGTGGATGTAGGCTGAGGGTTTCCAATGTTATATCTCTGGTTATTGTAAGATCCAGCCATCGCCGTGGGTCCTCCCGCTGGCGGCTGCTGCTGTTGCTGCTGCTGCTGCTGCTTCACGTTAGCTGGCTGCCCCCCAGCTGTCGGCGCCTGGTTGCTGCGAGGGGAGTTCATGGCGTAAGCTTGGCCGGGATAAGGAGTCCTATTAGGGAACGGGTTGTAATTGTTGAACTGGTGGTTTGAAAAGCCATGCTCGTGTGAATTAGGTTGATACGGGTCCATCATGTTGCTCGACTGCACGACCGGACCCGCAGCAGCTGCCATGCCAGGGCTTTGTTGTCCGCCATGTTGATGAAAAGGGGCCCGACCGTAGTGCTGACTGTATCCGTACGAAGGTGGAGGAAATGCGGTGCCGTGGTGATGCACCAAACCGGGGTGAATATTCCCTTCCGGTCCGACAGAGTCATTCTGGTTATTATTGTTAGCCCTGGGCGGGTTCCCATTCCCGTTCTTCATCTCAGGTTCCCCTCCTCCCCCTGCATTTCCACCGTCGGCCCCGTCCTGCGGATCCCCCCGGCCAGGCGATCCGCTGTCCAAGCCCGGCTGCTTTTTGTCGGACTGCTTCTCCCCCGGTACCGAATCCTCCTTGGGTTCTCGATCCGGCTTTTTGAGTTCGGCAGGCGGGCTAGTGTTTAGAGTGGCGGCGCTGGCGACCTGAGCGGCCATGATATTACCCCCCCACCACCACCACCACCACCTCTCTCTCCCTCTCTCGGCGAGTCAGTCACAATCAAAAGCTAGCATTGAATATAAATAATTGTTTATAACCATTTATCCTTGTGTCGATTCATTCCCACCCCTTACACCGGACCGAATCCGGCGGCCATTTCCCCGGTTCCGGTTCCGTTAACGGGTTACAGATATGATGGAGGCTCCATACAATGCGTAAAAAAGCGACAGAAATTGTTGTGGGAGTTGTGTTACTGAGCCCGGGTAGAGGCAGGGAGCGAGCCCAACCAACACGAGGCTCCGCTACATACAGCCATTTTACTGAGCCACACGGAGGTCTGCAAGACCCGGACTGGAGCTGCTCCAGTGCGGAGCGGACTGTTTGTCTTTACAACCTTTTTTTTTTTTTCCCCTTCATGCATAGGCGGAATATTTTATTCACTTGAAGAAAGTCTAATGTTCAAACAATTATTTCATGTTGCATGACCAACATAATGTAACATAGGAAACAATGCACTTTAAATAAAGCACAAAAAAATACGCATTTTGAATACCATGGGTGATCAATGGAGAGGGAGTATAAATCATTTATAAATAACTTTTTTTTTTTTTTTTAAATGTCTGTAAGGTGGATGATCCTCCTGAATCTTAAAGACCTATGGAGCACACTGGGGGGGAAAGGGTTATATGAAATAGTTATGTAGCTTGCAATATGTCTTACTTGGAATTATTAAGGGGAGAAGAATGGTAATAGTCGTGTTTTCAATTATCATATTTGATCAATGGTGCTTTTCCAACTAGTGTTTCTGAGTGTTTTTTAAGCAAGCAAATGCAACACACGCAGGTTTTTCCAGAGCAGAAGGAGTAAGCCTTGCAGCAAACGAGACTACCAATGCACATTCCCTTATTCCCTCCCCTGCCTGCTCTGCTTTGCTCTCCTCTACCACCCCCTCTCTCCTCTGTCTGTCTCTCACTCCAGCAGAAACACTCCTCTGCCGAGTGTGGGGGGATGGGTGCACACAGACTCCAGCTCTCTCTCCCTCTCTCTCTCTCTCTCTCTCTCTCTCTGCCTGCTAACATTGAACTATGCCGTACAGAGAGGGGGGGGGGGGAAACAACCCAGACCTTATCTACCAGACGGAGGATTGCCTGAACAGTTTGAAAGTCTCACAACAATTAGAAAAATAGAGCAATTGCCCCCTTTCTCTCTCTGTCCTCTGTCAAATGATGCAGACATTTTTTGGCAAACCACAAAACGTTCAGAGCACACAGAGCAGAGCATGAGAAGTGTGTGTGCTGTGCTCAGGGAGTTTTTGTTTTTAAGGAATAAAATGCTAATCCATTTCATTTAATGAGGCGTTTAATTGTTCGATGTGTGTGTAGGTGCAAAATTCACATTTAAGCTTGCAGGTGGAACCACAGTGGAACTAGATTTCCTTTCGGGTTTCTTGCCTCACTCTCGACGCGCACGTAAGTACGCGCGCGCACACACACACACACACACACACACTTCCGCAAGGGGGCTTGAAAGGGAAGAAAAAAAAAAAAGACAGGAAGTACCAGTGAGAAGGCATACTTGATCACATGTACAAACATCGGAACACAACTTAACATTCTGCCTGACACACCCCCCTAATGCACGCAGAGTACAGAGCTGTGTAGGCAAAACAAGCAGTCCACATATCATTTCACATCGTACCACACAGGGTTAATGAGATTTCCCACATCAGTGCGAGCTCCTGAAGTGGATCACGCTTTATTTGAGTCTGACTTCAGCACTGCATGAGACGTGCGTGCGCTCACACGAAGCCTCGTGATTGAATATGTGTACGAGGGCGTCTAGACTTTTTTTTTTTTGTGATGAATTTTTACATTATAAATGAAGGTTTAAAGCTGGGGAAAGGAATAGTTATAATAAAGACAATTGGGGACAGTCTCCTGAAAGTTCAAAAGAGAGTTGAAGTTGCTTTTAAAAAGACAGAGAGGATCTTCCATCCCAGAGACCAGACACAGGGCCAGTTGTGCAGAAACAGATTTAATGTAGCTTCCTCTCCCCGCCTGACTTAATTTTTCTGCTCCGGCTGCTGGGAAAAGATGGAACAGATTTTAGAGAATCCGGGAGGATTTGCAAACCCAAGTGCCACCTGCTGGACAAAATACCCACCATACATGCAAGGACTTTTTTTTTTTTTTTTGATGAAAGTCATTTCTACTCCAATATGTCCGTGAGGTTGTTCAATCACTTTGTCTTTGTAAAAAGTTGGGTTGTTACGTCTAGCAGCAGATGTCTGGGATTTAACATTTATTCCTTCTACCCAGCATGTTTTCACGATAACAAAATAACCCAGCACAAAAAGTGGTGCAAATGACCGGTTATTCAGTACCATAATATATTCATGTGCTTCAATAATTTTACAAATGAAGTAGGAAATATTGCCACATAATGCCAACCAGCCATGATAAAGTTTAAGCTCATACTGTAAAAAAAAAAAAAAAAAACACTAGGTCGTCCTGTCCATTCCCATCTGCTTCTCTCACTCTCACACACGCACATCTCTGACAGGCCTGATTGTCCGATCCCATAATATTCCACAGCAAATCAAGGGAAATACATTTTCTGTCTGTTCGCTGTCACTTTCTGTCACACATAAACGCGCATGGCGGGAGGGAAAGCATGAGGGAAGTCCTGTAGTTTCTAAGGAATATTCTTCTTCACTGATTGTAAAGAGGGAAAAAAAAACTCAAAGAAAGAAGAACATCTTTCTGGTCTTAATTTGTTCACAAATAATGTACAATAAAGTAATACCAATATGAGTCACTTTATTGTTTCATGATGAATGACTGTTTACATGTGCTTTGTAAATACAACAAACTCATTACAAAAAACACTAAATAAGGAGCTTTGCAGAGGAAAATAAATGTATTGTCATTTATTAAAGATGTCCTTGTCATCTTCAACAGAGACAGCAGTGAAGAAACACCAGCATCACTTAAATCTTCACCCAAAGAAAGTACAGCACTCATTCCCTTCAGTCCACCTCATTGGGATTTTTTTTTGTGGTGTGGTACAACCATGAAGCGTCAGACTCCACTTCTACACTGGTGTGAAAGGCCAGCAGTTTCCTCCTTTTATTTTGGCTCTTCAAATTAAAGGTCCATCATTTCCTCTGCCACAGTCTTTCTACTGGTTTCTACATACCGCTCCTGCACACCGAGAGTACTGAAAGAACTGTTAAGGAAAACAAAGTCAGAGTATTTCAAACTAGATCTTCTAAGGTTACTTTCAGCCCTATCAACCTAACGTCATTATAAACACCAGAGCTCTCCTTTTGTCAGCCACCTCCCTTAAATCTCAACGTTTGATTTGAAACCATGAGTCACAGTGAGTCACTGCAGCGAGTAGGTAAGGATACGAGTCGAACTGGAAGTCTGCCCCCACAGCCGCTGACATCATGGCCTGCAGATTCCTTTCCTCCAGGTCTCCAAAGCAGTAGCCATTGGCTTTGTCCACTGTTCGTAGGACCTGAATCATGCTCTCTTTGTCCTGGAGACAGAAAGAAAAAGCAGTTGAGAGGGGTTTCCCCTGGAGAAATTCACTGAAACTACCTGCTAATACAAATATGTGGGACAACTTTAGACAGAAACCTATAGTATACCTGTTGTATGAATGTTAACCTTAACTTTTTTGAAATAAGCTAGACATGAAAATAGCGCCATACATCCCCAAACTCTCCAATGCTCAGGGTTTAGCATCCTTTAGTTTTCTTATTGGTCGCTACCATTACTCTAGTTCTAGAAAACAGAAAGGCATCACAGCTGAGATCTTTTGAATTACTTGTCCGGTAATAGCGAGTGCAGGGTGGTCTAGACTTCTGTCTCTGAATATCCACACAGGACCATATCAGTCTCCATAAAGAAATAATGTCAGGAGACGAATACAGAGTGCAGACAGCTTACTTCCTTTTAACAGGCCAATCAATCTGCGCCAAATCAATACAGTCTTCAATTTGAAATGCTAAAAATGATTGACGATTCCTTATTGAGGAGATGAAATGTGTGGCGAGTGACTTTTTGAAATTCCTGGAAAGGAGCCATTTTGGCATACGGTGGATTCATGTTCAAGTGTGACATGTTAAGGACAGTTCTTTCCTTCTTTACCTCATACAGCTGCACTGATATTATGAAGGAATCCCGCCCCTACGACCCCTATTACACGCAAATTGAGCATCATCTTTGTTTATAACTGAGCGATGTTTGATAAAGATCATCATGCTGCATTTGGTCTGTGACTGGTCGAAAGCTGAAGCCTCTACATTGAATGTTTTTAATTTATTGAATGGGAAATGTTCTTTCACCAGACATTATCTCTCCTTTGCCACCCCAAAGTACTCTTCATATTATGTGGCACTCTGCTACCACCATGGATTTATTATGTATGTGACTGACAGCTTCTGCTCTATTGCAGCAAAAAAACAACTGAATTCAGATCATTTGGCATGTCACAAAATCATAGCAACAAGAAGAGTGATGGCAGAGTGTGACACGTTAGCCACAGCTTTCAAAGTTCATCAATCAGGCAATATTTTACATTGTAAAAATCCCAACAGTAACATGGTGATGTTTACAATATATATGCAAGGCTTTAGATATGAATGGTAGCACTAGTGTTGCTATACAGGATTAGCTGTTTAGGCCTATAGCTATAGAATTTTTTGCTATTTTATACATTAGAACATGCAGGATTTGAAGAAAAAACACCTTAAGATTCAGTAGAAATGAAAATAAAGTTTTGTTATATTTGCAGAAAGTGTTACATTATATGCCTGAAAAAAAAAAAAGGCTGTCTGCGCTACCATTTGACTTAAATGTATCAGGTTGACGAAAGCCGTGTTCTTTTAACCTCCCCCACACAAGTGCCCTGTTTGGAAAAGAAGATCCCCAGTGTATTCACTGTAAAGAGATAAGGTCATATTGACTAGCATGTACGACCAGCAGTTCCAAATCTGTGGCGTCACTGAGGGTTATTTCTCTGCAATGAGCAACAAGACATGTTTCAGACATACAGACAACAGTGTTACCTGAACATTAAGTGGCACAAATGAGACGAGACCATAATCTTGAATGACCCCTGCCAACTTCTCATTCAGCTTGCAGAATTTTTTGAAGAAGGGGTCTGCAGCCAGATGATCGAGAAGATACGTCAGATCCATGACCTCTGTGTAGAACTCAAGGTTGAAAGCTGCTCGAGAAACAGAAACAGGAAGTACGTTACAAAATGACTGGTGTGTGCATGAAAACAAAAGGTAATATCCTTGTTTACTTTGTGTGTGTGTGTGTGTGGAAACAATTGTCTGTTTGTCTCGTACCTAGTTTGCCATACTGTTCAATCAAGTCCATCTTGGAGAGGACGTTGACATGAGGAAGCTCCACATGCAGCATGGTGGACAGGGACGTACACAGCACAGATATAAACTTGGCTGGGTCAGCGCAGTAATGAGAGTCCACGAGGTGTACCGCTGTCAGCTTCAAGAAAGGAGAAAGTGAGGAACTGTAAGAATCCAAAATCAGTCTACAGATACAATACTTCACATTAATGAAGTAAATCAAACTCACCCTGAAATTCCACTTTCCCAGCTGTGAGAAAATGTTCTTTACTGAATTCTGATGTGTGTACAGCTCCACTTGTCCAGGACAGTCAAACAGAAAGTAACAGTCACTGTGCTGCTTCAGCTTGTTCTCCAACCAGTCCAGATTGGCTTCAACATACTCCATACAGTAAAGGAGCCCTCCATTTGGCCCAAGCTTCACACCGTCCATGACATCGTCCAGAGTGACCAGCTCTGAAATATCCACCCCACAGGAGTAGGGCAGTCCTTCGTTAGCTGGGTCCATGTTTACAACAACCACCTTGCGTCCCAGATGAGTGAGGAACTCTTGCATTCCTTGGCAGTAGGTTGTCTTCCCTGAGCCTGGGGGTCCGATGACCACTTGACCGAAGCGCAGATCATGCTTTTCTGCTGTCTGGCTAGACATGGTCTCAGTACAGAGGGGCCTGAAGAGGATCACATTAGATGAAGGCTGGATGTGAGGGGCCAGGAGAGGATCACATTAGATGAAGGCTGGATGTGAGGGGCCTGAAGAGGATCACATTAGATGAAGGCTGGATGTGAGGGGCCAGGAGAGGATCACATTAGATGAAGGCTGGATGTGAGGGGCCAGGAGAGGATCACATTAGATGAAGGCTGGATGTGAGGGGCCAGGAGAGGATCACATTAGATGATTACAGTCAATTATGTCTCAAGTTTAACTCAACATATACCAGTGATCATACATTATTATGGACATTTTTCTGGTTTTCATGACAGATGTTTTCTTCATTAATTGATACGTAACAATTGCACAGGGGCCACGTTGAGGGTTTATGGGGGCCGCATGTGGCCCCCGGGATGCCAGTTGCCCACCTCTGCATTAGATGAAGGCTGGATGTCAAATGGGACACATGAGTTGTCCCATGAAGCATCAGCATCCAGAATGCAACCTGACAGATTCACATTAATTAGCTTAAGATTTAGACATAAAAGGAAGTGAGGTAAGTCTTATTAACACTATGAAAGTAAAAACTCAGCTCTGCATGTGGAGGAGCAAGTAAATACAACTTAGAATGACAAACAACGTTACACACCATTAAGTTAGTGAAAGAAGTAAGAAAGGGAAGTTTATGTGACTAAAGATTAGTACAACTGAGGTTTTCAGACATTTCTGACAATATAAGCGCCTTGCATTTTAATTTATTTTATAAAAACTGATGGTTAATTACCGTCTGCTGCTGTTTTGTTTGCATGCGCACATCGGTTGTAGCTAAATGGCTAAAGCTATGATAAAGTACATCCGGGTTAAGTTAACAGGCTGTCAAAATAAAAGTGCCGCTTCCATTCAGCATGCAGCACCAGAGACGGTTCATACACTACGCTGACCTCAAGAGTTCAACACATCTATTTTTATCATGTTTTTTCAATCTGTTCTTACATTATTTATAAATGAGTATAAAAGAAGCATACACATAATAGGACACGTGTAATATAAAATGGAGAGTCAGAAGATTAAGAAATACCAGGAAGCCTACCAGTATACTGACAAAATCAGAACAAGATAAGTAAAGGTTTGAAAACATTTATTAAACAGACAGACAAATAATTGAATACAAATCCTATAAAATGGTTATAATTTATTTCTTTGTAATGTTCTCGGTCCAATGATGCCACCTGGCTGCCAGCCTCTGTATTTCATATTTGTGTTGGGTTGACGTCTCAGCAAGGTGTCCCCTTGATCTATGTCTTTGGGTTTGTCATACACTGTAGATATATGGAATTCTGTTTTGGGCTTTTTTACAGGATGCAAGCCCAATTTCTCTCCATGATATCTATAAAAAAAAAAAAGAATACAATAGAATTAAAAAATATATAATTGCATCATTGTCCAATCACTCGTACACCAAAACATGAATGCAGTAATAGATTTTTTTTTTCTTGAAGTTTATACATACCCAAAGCCTCTTTTACAACGAGGATGTTGGCCCTCATTGTCAAGGGCTTCAGGAATCCCAATCTGACTGTTTCCCAGCCCCTCACCATCCTTCCAGCCCTGTTTTTCCATCAAGCGACGGCCAAAGCCCTGAAAAACAAAAACAAGGAAAAAACTCATTAAATATCTAATAGAGGCTACAGTAAGAAAGATTAAGTCAAATGAAAAAGGTATTTTCTTACTTTTGTGAACCTCTCAAAGTTGCCAATAGACTGACTGTGTCCAGCTCGATCTCCAAGACCCTCCCTCAGCCTATTTTCATAACGCATTCGGACATAGTCTCGGGCATCCATGTCGCCTCCATCTGTTAGAGGGAGAGCTGGGTTAGAGAGGGAAACTGATCTGCAGGTATTCTTCACACTATCAGTGGAATCACAGAGAAGCAGTGGATGATACCTTTATCATAGTAAACACTCATGTCCACATCCCAGTCGTCTGCCGTTTGTTCATCAAAATCTAAAAGAGGGACAGAAAGAAAAGAAACATAATCAATATTTCACCCAGCATTTATTGTTTAAAACATCTGTTTTAACACAAAATATCTATTTGTAGTGGAGAAGAACTTTTAGCACACGTCCATGATGTAAGGCTGGACTTGAGTCAACACTTTTCTCTTGATGGATGTGTTTTTTAAAAGTAGAGTGGAATTTAACGGTCTGCTTTAACATTTGGACCTTACTTCCACCAAAAGCCAAAAAAAAAAATCTGACTAACATGTCTGAGATGAACACAAAAAGTGAGTTTCAATCTATAAACAACTTTAATGGTCAATGTTTTTTTTGTTGATACCTCCTTCTTCTTCCTGCCAGTATTGGGCGTCTGTGTAGAACACCAGGCCCGAGCCGCCCTTCTCCCACTTCAACTCGATCTCCTCTTCGTACAGCCTCTCTTTGCTTCGCTCCTGGCTCGTTACATCCTCATGCAGAGCCTCATGGCGCTCCCACTCTTCACACCAGTCATCGTCCTACAGCCAAGATGAATTAAAAATCAACACAGTGATGAGACAATGAGGGCAGGAAGCCAGCCCCATAAAACAACAATACTGACATCCTATTCGATATCAATTGATTTAAACGCACATCATCTGCATTTGACTGTTCATCCTCCTCCTTCTCCTCCTGGTCATCTTTCTGCTGTTCATCCATCTCTGTTGTCTCTGTGTGAAGGGGTCCCTTCCTCCGTCCTGAGGTTGGAGCGGCCAAACTGCCTGGCCCAGATATTTCATGTCCAGTAGCTGTTAATACGGTTTCCTCCGTGGCTTCAAGTGTCCAAGAGTCCCGATACTTGAAAGGTACATTTCCATAACGGCGGTTCGAGCTCGTCTTGGGGAAAACAAGCCCTAACTTCCGGATGAGCCGCGGTGGTAGTCGGCAGGACTGGATGAGCTGTAGGAACACTTTGACTGGTGTGCCTACGTTCCCATTCTGCATCAGAGCAGGTGGGTTTAGCTCTGATAAGCTTTTGAGGTTAGCCTCTGTGAAACACTCTGTTAAGGACACACGGTGCCGCTGCTCGTGCTTCGTTTTATAGGGAAATAAACCATCATCTGAAAGAACAACAAAAGAATTAGATGTACAGCCAGATATAATACTTCAAGTTAAGGTCACAATTTAACAAGAAAAAAAAAAGATTTCATGCAATAAACTATTTCACCTGCACAGAGAGGACATTATATATTCATGAAAGGATCATCTCCATGCTCTTAGCTTTAGTACAGTAGATTAACACTGCACGACTACAATTAATATAATATGGGGCGCTGGTGGTGCAGTGGTTAATGCGCGTGTGGCTGTAGTCCTCAGCGCAGGCGGGCCGGGTTCGAATCCGACCCGTGGCCTCTTTCCCGCTATGTCAATCCCCACTCTCTCTCTCTCCCTGATACCGTCTCTCTCCTATCTCTCCATTAAAGGCACAAAAAGCCCAAAAAATACAATTATTATTATTTTAAAGTTACAACTGAAATCTGTCTGCGAACAATAACTTCACAGATAAAATAAATCTGTATTTTTTTTTAGTGCATTTTAATCACAAACTATATCAAATCGTGTAGTTTTGAAATGACTCAGGTAAATAAAAGCCCAGGCTATTAATTGAAGTTTTACGGTAATTAGGGTACGTTACTTGAAGCAGCCACACATTTTAAAAGAACATGTTGATGCTTCACCTTCGTCCTGTGACACCTTGACTCTTCTCACAACACATCGTTTAGCCAGCCAGTTCCCCTTTGAGTCAATCCAGTGGTTTCCCGCGTACATCTTGACCAATCTGTCCGCTTCTTTAACATGAACTGAGACGATACAACAGCACGACTTCACCGCCTGCTGCTGCTGCTGCTTCTTCTCAGAGATGTGTTCAGTTTCTTGGTCAGTCTCCGGAGGTTTGGAGCTGCCCTCTTCTTCTTCTTCTCCACGCTCAGCACTTCCGGTCACATCAGACTCCCTGAGGACCTCTGGTCGATGTCTGTAGTGAAAACACTGAAAACCTCCGCTTTCTATGTACTGACTGAAATAATTTCTCAGGTCCGCTGAGCGAAAGGCAGCAGGAATGTTTCTTATAGCAAAATAGACAGGGGCAACTGCATCAGAGTCCGCCATGATTGTTTTTGCGAGCCTGGGTACTAGACGTCATCACGACGTCACATCCGCTTCCCGACACGTTAGAAAAAAAACTGCACAGGCCTACTTTTTATACTAAATTTTGATATATAAATATATACATTTAAATATAAATAAAGACTTAATATTAAGCCATATTTTTTTTACATGTCATTCTTTCTATCTCAAATCCCAACAACTCTAAAGATAGTCACGTAAAATCTCCACTGTGAACAGAATCAAATGCACAACTATAAGTAACTTAGTGCACATGGCTACAAAATAAAAAGGGTGCTATGAGTCTGAAGTCAAGTAAAAAAATCTTAACATGAACTAGAGTGTAGAGCATGCAAATACACCCCCAAATACAGTTAGCCTCAGACGGGAACCACTTCTCGTAAAACAAATTAAAAGTCCTTGTACATTACAATGGCAGATATAAAAAAATATATATACAAATTATAAATATATTCTATATATAAGAATTAATAACCACTGGATGTTTATTTGTTGTCATTTTTGCAAACAGTCCATTATTATTATTGTGCTACGATAATAAACAAAAGTAATAGTAACTGTTGTCACAAAAAATATGTTTATTCACTCCTCGCATTCAGTGTGTCTTTAGGTCGTGTAATTTAGTGTGTTATTAGGTCGTTTTAATTTGTGTTTCATTCCCCCATGTTAAAATTCACGTTACTTAGTAATATTGTTGATAATAACTCCTACTAGACTATATATAGAGATAATTCTTGTGGCTCAATGAGTTGATGTTTGCATGAGAATTTAACCCTTGTAGAACTACATGTCATTATCTCTTAAGGAGCTGAGCACTCCTAAAGTTCTGATCCTAAAATCGTCCCTACTCAACGATATTACACATGCCCATTTACAATAGAGAAGTCATAAACTGAGGGCCCACCCGTGGGTGCCTGTGTCGATGGCTGACATTCCTTGTAAACAATGAAATTCTGAACATGTGGATATGCTGCATCAATCAATAACTCGGGGTGATATTTCTGCCCACACTAAGGAGATTTAGAAAAAGTACAAGTTATTTTCTGAATTACATTCAAAGTTGGGCTGTCAAATGATTTAGAAATTTGAATTTGATCACATCATTTCGATAGTTAATCGCGATTAATCACATTGTTAATCACATTTTTTTAATTCAAACATTTCACCTAAAAATAAAAATTGTTAGGCTTATATTTTGAATTGTGTACTGTGTTAAGCTGAGAGTACTTTACTTGCTGTCTAAAATAAAGTAAGGACTTTCTGGTAGATCGAAGGTTACCACATCAACTTAAACACAAAAAAAGGAACTCCGATCAAAAAGTAAATGAAAACAGTTAAAAGGAACAGTAAAAAAGAGAAATGTTTGATGTCATGAGGTATATACTTAGATAGATTTGTCCACTGAGGAGTTATATAAGTGAAATGAGCCGCTTAAAGATGTAGGAGTGTCATTCTTTTCCATCTGATGACTACAGGCAGACACTGCAGAGGCTTGTCCATGCTGCACCTAAAGAATACCATGCGATTAATTGTGAAAATGATACATTAATTTCAGATCCAATGAATCGGAATTTACTAGTTAATTCTAACAGCCCTAAACAAGTATCAAGAAGTTGATATTTAAACAAAGATAGGCGATGAGTCTTGATTTATTTGGAGGGAACAGACATATGTAAAATTAGACATTGAACACCCCCATATGGCTGGAATG